TTGCATAACGGACAGTTTGCCTAATGGTTGTAGTGATCAATTCCAGTTAAAAACACATTTTCATATGACGCAACAAATAGCATGAAACAAACCACAGACCAAATCAAATGCTCATTTTGATGGTCTTATTTGCGTACAATCCGCAAGCAAATTCGCTAACTTACATAAAAACGACATTTGCTGAACACCAGAACAGGATCCATTCATTTGGTTACAAGCACCTTGATAATGATCAATTATGATGATGAAATCTAAATCGCCATTTCAACTTTTCCTTCGTTGCTTCCGTTTGAAGTGTTTCTGCGATGTTTTGGCGAATCAGTTTTCATTCAACAGTTTGAATGTTCCCAGTCACCACTTGATGGAGTTCTTGCTCAATATGATCATAAGTAACTTCTAACGACATATCATCCCAATGATTACATTCCCGCTTGGTCTCCTTTCGGAGGGATCTGTAATATTCACATTACCCTGATCACAACCGGTCCACTCGTAATCGAATAAAATTCATGCGTGGAGGAAGGGGAAGGTTTAATCGAGCAACATTTCAGTTAACAGTAGAACGCGTCAATGACTGCGACATAGAAGTCTTACATCTAAATTCCTTAAATGTGTCCACAAACACTGTGGACAGATGTAAGTAATTTAGATGTCATAACCATAATCAGCAGTGAATTGAATTCTCCGAAACAATAAATTGAAGTCATACTTCAATTACCGCTCAAAGAAAAATTAATATAGTAAGAATAATTATAACACGCATATTGTTCATGAATCTCGAAATGCAGACGTAGGTAGGTGTGTCTTGTATGAGACACTGCAATTATTGTCATATTTCATTCGAAGAAATGCTTCATTCACCTAAACAAGTTGTCTTGCTCATTTATTAACTTCGACGTTCAACTCATACTGAGATAGGTAGCAATTATGTTGGTCGGTTCACCTTTTCCTCTCGACCAATTTTCAACATTTCTTTCATTATTGCCATTCATTCTTGTCAATGGAAAGAAGCAATCTTTTGAAATGCGATCACTTATAGGTAATTCTTCATCTAATTCTTCTTCCATCGGGCGGTTTACGTTCATTTGTAAAGCCTTAATAAAGTCACTTCTTGGTTTGCTATAGGCGACAAATTATTTTCTAAAAATCGTGACGAAAATGTTGACGAAATTATTTGATCGCATATATCATTTTCGTTTCATTCAATATTAATGCAGAAAATAACTGCATTTGATCGCTGCTCATAATTGGTATTTCATTTGATAATGGAATCGATATGAAAAATTTCGTCGAGTTTTCATTTTGGAACTCATTTTCAGAACCTATCGCATATCGTATCATAAAAATGTTCAATACAAACTACGTGATTATATTCATTTTATGGTTTTCAGTACGATGAATCTATCCGTAGGTATCGAACTTCTGGCTTTTTTTGCATTATGCTCAATTGACTGTGTCGTCTCAATCGTGGTTAGTGTTACGTTTCATAATAGGATGATGAAGAGTATTGAATGACAAATCAGTCTTCTCTATGAATCAGACAAGGCAGGGTCTATAACAATTGGCTTGCACTTCACAAAGAATCAGTCGCGACATCCATCAATAGAAATCAAATCTTCTCCCTACTTGGTCTTAAGAACGAATACATTACAGTGATCGCAACTGATTTATGTCTCTAGATCTGTGAAGAGTTCAAAAACCTGCGTGAGTCTCAAAAATTTGATCTGTGAATTTCAAAACTCTTTTCAGAATTGCAAAATGCTTTTTTTCGAATAACTAGCAGTTTTAATGTGCAAATGCACATATACCAACAAGAGGTGCAATGTTCATTGNCTTCCAGGGCTTCAACGAAGGAATTTTCGCATTTGCTGAGCCTCCTTTCCCCTCGCTACTTAACACTTCCTTCGATGTTTTCATGGTCGTAGAGATCGGTGAATTTAACACCTCCATGGCAGAACTCTCGATTGTGGATTTGGCTTTTCGAAATCCAAGGAACAGGTCAATTTTTCGGACATGTTTCCAAACTATTCGGCGTTCTCAACGAGCAAAATTACATTAAACCTCTCTTGCGAGAATGCAACTGCTAGTACGCCATCAATTACAGATCGCAGATACAGATGAAACGAAGAATGTTCAATGAAGATCGTGACGAAATATATGTGACCGAACTTCAACTCTCTGTTCCAGATAGTAGGTTTCATTTATCTCGTTGATTTACTGATGGAATTTGATTTAATATTCATAAACTGTGTAACTTACAACAGTTTGTCGTATTTGAATCAAATTCGTTGAGAATATGACAGATGGTTCTTTCTTCCCCTTTCAACAACCTAAAAGTTTTGATAGGATTCCCTGTCGCCCGTGAGCAAGCCGAATGAAGTTGCTTCCATCAGCATTTGAATAGTTTTTGTATCTTTGGGTGAATTCAAGACAAGTTTGGTATGAAACAGGATTCAAATAAACCTACTCAAATTGCCAACAAAATATTGCTGGTTGTACCTCTTCCTTCAGAAGACCTGCCAACAACCAAATGTACCAACCTCGATCAATATTTTCGCGATAAGAGGAACCACCTATAAATTTTCTTCCTTTAGACATAACAGACATCAACCCATTCAATTCTTCAACACTAGTGCCTGATTATGGCAAAATCGAAATCGGCGGTCGTCCTCTCCTTGTTCCTGCTTTTGCGACTGGATCATTGAAAGCAGATTCGAATGCACAATCAGATGTTTTAGTGATTGGCCTCGGTGGTGCGCAGTTGACCAATTATCTTCATAACACTTTTCCGAAGGTGACATATTACCACTTCTATACATAGAAATTGATCGTTGCTCAACGGTGATGAGGATGCATAGAGTATGTGGGCGATTTCCTATATTGTAAATTTGTAAATGATGACCTGATAGTGGTTCCAGATGAATTTGACAATTGTCGAATTAGAACCAACGATGGTTGAAGCAGCACGAAAATATTTCGGGATGAAAGAAGATAAAACTCAACGCGTTTTGGTCATGGATGGAGTTGATTTTCTGAAGAAGGCAGCTGAATATGGTCACTACTTATTGATTATACTTACCCCATTGAGGACTTTTTTTTGAAATTCCATCCAGCTTCATCATACCGATAAGAAAAACCACCGTATTTAGTAATCAAACGCATACTTATTCCAAAATACCATACTGAAGACCGATTTCCAAAGGGAAATTATGATCCATGCCGACTATATTTCACGCCGTTTT